TCAGACTTCGTGCCCTGACATTAACTTTGTTGGTGCTAGGGTAAGAAGTTTGATCCAGAGCTCTGTATGCTTATTCAACTATCTGATAAATAAATACATTGAGTGAGACCTAAATTTCTTCTCCTATTGCTTCATTAAACGAATGCGCGGGAGCTATCTCATACATAGTGTAATTTCTGGTAGACTGAAATTCAGCTCCAACACAACCGGGGAATGACCTGAACACATATGGCACATTGAATACAAATGGCTCTAACAATTCCACTGAACACAAACTTCTATTTTTTTCAATCATTGTTTTCACTTTACCTCTAGTTTGAGCACAACATGTGATAAAGTATGATCACTTGTGCATGGATCATCAGGGGCCTCATGTGGCGTACACACTTTTCCACACTCACATCCAGATGTATCAAGAGTGAAATGATCGTGGAAATGTGCAGTCCTCCACGCCAACTTCTTACCTGGCATATGCACATTTCTATTGCTTTTGAGCTGTTTGCGACACTTAGAGGTGACGCTGGGGAAAGTGTCAAAAGGTCATTCCTCAAAGTGATGTGCACATCATGAACAATTAACACACCCAAGTGTTTACAATTAGATGAGTGGATATAAAAGTGTGTGTAAAATGGTGCAGAAGATACCGTGATACAGTGGCAGCTTTGGCACTGTTGGAGGATATTGCCAATGGAGCAGTGCGAAGAGAACGGGTTTCCAGAGACCTCAGGACGATGGCTGGCTGATCATCTGCCTTAGGTTCCCGAGGGCAATCCTCTTGGAACTGTGCACAGAACTGCGGCCATGATTGGAGCGCAACACACCCAGGAGCCATGTCCTACCTGTGCCCATACAGGTGCTGACCACACTGGGCTTCCTGGCCATAGGGTCATTTCAGAGGGAGCTGGCCGACCGATCGGTACTGTGCTAGCCAACACCAAGCCGAGCCATGCCAGCTGTGTGGGATGGAACTATCCGGATGTCAGTCAGATATATCAAATTCCCACACTGCAGTTGAACAGGACGACATAAAAGTGCAATTTGCAGCGAGAGCCGGTTTTCCTGATGTAATCAGTGCTATCGACTGCACACACATTGCTATAAAGGCACCATCACAAGATTCATTTGTTTATGTAAACAGGAGGCATTTTCTTTCAATCAATGTACAGATCATCTGTGATGTGCAAATGTATTTAAGTAACATTGTTGCGTGGTGGCCTGTATCAACACATGACATGACAAGCTGGCACGGTGCAGGATGGGTGGCTTCTTGGTGAGCAAATCATTTAATTGTCCTAATATTAATCCCCCTGACACACGTTGAGCATGTGCGCCCCTAAATATCATCCTGTTTTCACAGCATCATGACTTGTCAGTGGTTAAAGTTGGTTAATTGGTCCAGCCGCTCATTGATGCCACCGATTGCCCTCACTATGTCCTCTTGTGACTCCAGCACAGCACGGGTGAGGACATGGCCGGTCTAATGGGCATCAGCAGCTGGCTGCTGCAGCGGATCGGAGGATCAACTGACACTGGGGAAGCTGGAGGAATCCCTTGGATCCGTGATACGAGGCTGGGACTGCGTCTCACCGTCTTCTCCTGCCTTGTTGTCTGTTGGAAAATACTAAATTGAGTAATTAAGCATGAGACAAAGTCTTTGATATCCTGGCATGATTACGCATGATCATTTATTTTGTTTGGCTGTGAGCAGATAATTGTATGTGTAGCTGCCCTCGGCATCAATAACACAGCGGTACAGTTCGACTGGTGCTCAGTCGTCTTTATTTCACCTGTGCACCATGAAACTAAAACGTACAAACAATTTCATTTGTTACAACAAAATTAAAATAGGATCGAACGAGCAGAGCATATCAATACAATTTTGCATTCCATTTAGATTATACGAAGTATGAATGTTCAGTAAAAACACAGCAAACGATACCTTGCTTCGCCTGCCAAGGGTGCAAATTCTTGATGGGCAACAGGTATGCCTCCGTTCTGCTCACTTCTCGTGATCAAATACAATCAATGATAAAAATACAAATACAATCAATGTGCATAAACACACAAAAACAAACAACAAAATCAACCCATATTTGTTGCCACATACAAAATTGTGAACACAGTTGGTTCTGGGACAGGTAAACGACTTAAAGCAAAGGTATTTGCAATAGCTACAGCCAAACTAGCTTCTTCTGAAGTGGTTTTGAATGCAGCAGGTCAAGGTTCAAGAGAGTTTGCTTCAGGATTCAACAAAGGTTGGTATGCAGAATTTGGGCTGTCGAAAGGAAGTTTGACATCTTCAGTTTGACCACTGAGGCATCAAAATTGTTGTAAACCCTTACACGAGCTGCTGCCACTGCCACCTCACTGTCAGCTCTAAGCTGTTGTAACTTTGTTCTTTCCTCTTCAAGCGTCAGTTTCATTCTGGCCTCTCTTTGTTTAATTTCTGTCAACATTTCAGTTTCCTCAATATTCCAGTCGCTGTCTAGTTTATCAAGCTTAGCTTGTTGGTCATTTAACCTTTGAGTAGCATTTGCTTGCTCTAATTTGGCTTCAAGTTCTGCTTCTGCATCAGCTCGCTTACTAGAAACTTTAGAGATAGCATCAGACAATTCACTTACAGATCCTTGTGACTGACATGACTTTGAGTCTACAGTTTCTGTATTAGTTTTGCCACAAACTGATCCATACTCTTGTCGCTTTTTTATAAGGTCACAAATTTCAGTGGATAATGTACTGCAAACATCCATTTTCTTAGCGTTGTCAGGAGTTGGTGTGTGATTGCATCGAATTGACTTATAAAACTGAAACACTTCATCATGTTTACACAGAATACTTTTTCTAATTTTATTAAGCTCATCTGAGGAGCAAAAAGTCTTAAGTTGAACTCTTATCTCTTTAGCAGTTAGCTTCCAAGTTTCATATGATTTTCATTTTTCTGTAATTCCTGTTCGTAAAAGTCTTGGCCCTTTTCAGTTAATATTCTTTGACGAGTGCTAGACCTTTGAGCATTTGAGGGAGACTGGTTCTCTTCAGCAGGTTCTGACATTTTGTTTTCTGTTTATCCAAGGCTTTGTGGGTTTAAGGTGAACCTTAAATCAATTAAATAGGGATTTTAAGCCAATTTAGACTATCACCACTCATGTCAAACATTAACACCTTCTAAAACACAAAATAATTAAAGCCGCAAGCGGCGATGGACGGGTCCTCGCCCTACGCTTGTCGGCTGTCCCACACGTTGGGGTGTGGCGCAAACGTGGTCCGGTCGGGACTGTGATCCGGACTGTCGAGTTTCAGGCAGATCGGAGGACGTGCAGCCTAGTTACGAGCCACTTCCTGTTTAGTGGCGAGCTGCTGCGGCGTGCGTGTTGGCCGTGGTGGAAACGCGCTCTGGCTGAGAGGCGCTGATTGACTTTTTTGTGCGTCCTGATCTCCTACACATGCCCACCGAATCTTGTAGCTGTAGGTGAAACGGCCTTTCGACAGGACTGTGATAAATGCCAAAAACACAGCAAAAATGGACAAAATGGCCATTGACCAAAATTGCACAGGGCGTCATTTCCAAACCGGACCTCATCTGCGGAACATTTGAGGAATTTTTAATTACCACGTCCTGTAGTTTGTGCCTGCCAAATGTCAGGTGTGTACAACGTACCCCCTCAGAGGAGTTCGATTTTGAAAATGGCCAAAAATGGCCATTTTTGAGCAAAAATGGTCCGACATGCTCGCTGTTGTTCCAACATGGCAGATTTCCTGTTGGGTTTACAGAAACATGCTAATGGACTTTTTTGTGCGTCACAAGTTGTTACATATGTGTGGCAAATTTCGTAGTTGTAAATCAAACATAGCCCCAATGGGAATCTGTTGAAATATTGTAGGGGGCGCCGTTGAGCCGTGTTGCATTTTACAACTTGGCCGAGGCTGACTTTTTTATTCATCCTGACCTGCTCTATATGCCTACAAAATTGCGTAGCTCTAGGCCAAATGTGCTTGTGACAAGACTCTGTTGAAATTTTGAAGGTGGCGCTGTGGAACAATTTTTCTATTAAGGTCTGCATTGTTCTTCCAAATTATAACATTTTTCACCGGGTCTGATGTACATGGCGATTTTGGTGAGTTTTCGAGTATGTTTAGGGCCTCAAAAACACGTGTCTTTGTCACGAATGAATAATAATAATAATCCGAGCAGTTCCAATAGGGTCTTCGCACCCGTTTGGGTGCTCGGACCCTAATAAAATACCACAAGATTTTACCACAATGCACGAGTAATCATTTGCTGCGCTAACACACCTTTAAATCACTTAATTGAGCTCATTTATGAATTTGGGTACCCACTGAGTATTCAACTAGTGGAAGTCAGACATGGTATGTAGCACTTACAAAAAAAAAAAAAACAACCTTAAAAATATTTACCATTTGAATAACCAGGAAGTAAGCAGGTATTTTCTGCATTAACCTTATTAAAATAGAATCAGTCCTTGTGAGTAGATTTTACCCGTCGACAGTCTTAAGTGTCTCTTACTGTGATAAGCCCTTCGAAACTGCTGGTCAGTGTTGGCCTCCAACTGCAGGTGGTTCCGGAGATTCCGATTTAGGCTTGGCTTCTTGCAGGACGAGGCCCATTAATGAGGTGCATCAGCGAGAAGGAACGCTTCAAACGAAGCAGCAGCAGCTGGGTTGCCTTATACAGCCTTAATTGTCTCTTACTGTGATAAGCCCTTCAAAACTGCTGGTCAGTGTTGGCCTCCAACTGCAGGTTGTTCCGATGATTCCGATGCAGGCTTGGCTTCTTGCAGGACGAGGCCCATTAACGAGGTGCATCGGCGAGAAGGAACGCTTCAAACGAAGTAGCAGCAGGGTTGCTAATGATGAGGAGAGACCACAGGAGCCAGATTCACTTCAAGGGGGAGAAGGGGTCCTCAGCGTCGAGTTTCACTGTAGCTGAGTTCAACTGGTGCTCAATCGTCTTTATTTCACCTGTGCACCATGAAACTAAAACGTACAAACAATTTCATTTATTATAACAAATAGGATCGAACGAGCAGAGCATATAAATACAATTTTGCATTTCATTTAGATTATACGAAGTATGAATGTTCAGTAAAAACGTAGCAAACGATACCTCGCTTCGCCTGCCAAGGGTGCAAATTCTTGACGGGCAACAGGTACACCTCCGTTCTGCTCACTTCTCATAATCAAATACAATCAATGATAAAAATACAAACACAATCAATGCGCATAAACCCACAAAAAAAAACAAACAACAAAATCAACCCATATTTGTTGCCACATACCGTCTCATCTGAAACTTTCCATGCGCACACAAACTCCTGGTTTCAATCAATGACAGTTGCCGTGTTTATACCACTTCCGGTATGCGCTGCCCAACCCCGGAACATGAATACAAAACAAATGCCAGTGGCCACTTATAGTATGACCTGTACAATGAATAAATCTGCGAGTTACACAATATATATTTACCTTGGGGGTGATCCGAGTCATCCATGAGTACTCCCACCACCCCTGTGAGAGCAGTGTTACCCACAATAGCGGCGAGTCTTTGCTCAAACGGGGTGACTTCATCTTCTCTTCTCCCCCCTCTTGTTTTGGCCACGCTTTGGCGGCGGGCAACAGTCCTCCTCTTGACCTTGATGTCTGACCACTTTTTTTTAAACCTCTGTAAGTGTACGCTGCTCTGACCCCACAGCATTCACCACCTCATACACACTCTCCCACTCACTCCTCTTACGTTTGCTGCTGATGCCAGAAGACAGCGTGCCAAAAAGAATATTTTTCCGGGCCTCGACGTCATTGACGAGCGTCTCAAACTCACATTATGTGAGGTTCCTCTTCTTACCTTTCTTACTCATGGCTTGTTACTGTTATCTGATCATGCAGAGAGGGGAATCCCACCTGCAGGCCCTGTCTATACTAATTTGCATATAAATGGAGGGCATGGAGAGGGAGGAGTCTGGTACTCCAACCTGAGCGGTCAATTCCACGCTGAGTGGGATGTACAAAGGTATTGAGCTTGGATTCAGGCATATGCTCAATTTCGTTCATCTGGGGCCTCATTTATCATCTGTGCGTACGCAAAGATATGTGCGTAGAGCATGCGTACGAACATTCCTACGCAAAGTATGGAATTTATCAACTTGTACTTACACTTAGGAATGTGCGTAAATATATGCACAACTCTGACCATGCGTATGCACATAATCTAGCGGTAGAATAGTGAAGCTACAAATAGAAAGTATTCGGGGATTTTGACCACTGGCACATTCCAGCGTGAGGTTGGTGACATGCAGCATTTCCAGCCATCACTGAGTAGGATCATGCCGGCAGTGTTGGATGCCTTAATTCCCCTACATCCAGTTCCCTTACAGCCATCACCAACAAGCCCAAATCAAATGTGGACTTCACGCCATCGCTAGATTGCCGAACATACACACATGGACAAAATTGTTGGTACTCCTCAGTTAATGAGAGAAAAACCCACAACGGTCACAGAAATAATTTGAATCTGATAACAGTAGTAATAAATAAAAATTCTATGAAAATTAAGCAATGAAATCAGACATTGTTTTGAACTGTGGTTCAACAGAATTATTTAAAAAAAAATAAACTCATGAAATAAGCCTGGACAAAAATGATGGTACCCCTAGAAAAGACTGGAAATAGGGACATGTCCAATGAAGGTGTGTCCTCTAATCAGCATCACAGGTGTCTACAAACTTGTAGTCACTCAGTCAACCTATTTATAGGGTTACAAGTAGTCACTGTGCTGTTTGGTGACATGGTGTGTACCACACTAAACATGGACCAGAGAAAGGAAAGGAGAGAGTTGTCTCAGGAGATTAGAAAGAAAATTATAGACAAGCATGTTAAAGGTAAAGGCTATAAGACCATCTCCAAGCAGCTTGATGTTCCTGTGACTACAGCTGCACATATTATTCAGAAATTTAAGATCCATGGGACTGTAGCCGACCTCCCTGGACGTGGTCGCAGGAGGAAAATTGATGACAAATCGAAGAGACGGATAATATGAATGGTAACAAAAGAGCCCAGAACAACCTCTAAAGACATTAAAGGTGAACTCCAAGGTCAACGTCCCTCAGTGTCAGATCGCACCATCCGTCGTTGTTTGAGCCAAAGTGGACTTCATGGGAGACGACCAAGGAGGACACCATTGTTGAAAACAAATCATGAAAAAGCCAAACTGGAATTTGCCAAACTGCATGTTGACAAGCCACAAAGCTTCTGGGAGAATGTCCTATGGACAGACGAGACAAAACTGGAACTTTTTGGCAAGACACATCAGCTCTATGTTCACAGATGCAAAAATGAAGCAAGAAAAGAACACTGTCCCTACTGTGGAACATGGAGGAGGCTCTGTTATGTTCTGGGGCTGCTTTGCCGCATCTGACACAGGGTGTCTTGAATCTGTGCAGGGTACAATGAAATCTCAAGACTATCAAGGTATTCCAGGGAGAAATGTGCTGCCCAGTGTCAGAAAGCTTGGTCTCAGTCGCAGGTCATGGGTCTTGCAACAGGATAATGACCCAAAACACACGGCTAAAAACACCCAAGAATGGCTCAGAGGAAAACACTGGACTATTCTGAAGCGGCCTTCTATGAGCCCTGATCTAAATCCTATTGAACATCTGTGGAAGGAGCTGAAACATGCCGTCTGGAGAAGGCACCCTTCAAGCCTGAGACAACTGGAGCAGTCTGCTCATGAGGAGTGGGCCAAAATACCTGCTAGTACAAGTCTCATTGACACTTCCAGAAATCGTTTGATTGCAGTGATTGCCTCAAAAGGTTGTGCAACAAAATATTAAGTTAAGGGTACCATCATTTTTGTCCAGGCCTGTTTCATGAGTTATTTTTTAAAAAATCATTCTGTTAAACCACGGTTCAAAAGCAATGTCTGATTTTTAATGGTTAATTTTCATAGAATTCTAATTTATTCCTTTTGTCAGATTCGAGTTATTGCTGTGACCATTGTGGGTTTTTCTTTCAAAAACCGAGGGGTACCAACAATTTTGTCCATGTGTGTAAGTGGAGCCATAGACTGCATCCACATCGCAGTCAAAGCAGCATCACTAAACAACTTGAATTATGTAAATAGAAATGGTTTAATTCAATCAAAGTACAAATAATTTGTGATGCACATTTGTGGCTATCCAACGGTGTTGCCCGGTGGCCTGGAGGAAACGCACAAGTCATTCATTGTGCAGAACAGCTTTGTGGGTGCATCTCCAAACAGGAACTGTTGAAGAGGGCTGGGTTATCGGTGAGTGCTACGAAGTGTGGAAATGTTTTAGCTGGACTTAGTATGGCTCCACTTACGTTTGGGAATCCAGTGATGGCGTTAAGTTCCCATTTGATTTGGGCTCGCTGGTGATGGCTGTAAGCGAACTGGATGTAGGCTGGGGCCAGGGGAATTATATATTTTGTTGCATACCAGACTTTAATACTTCATCGACATGTTGCTGATAATGCTTGTGTGCTTTTTTCATGCAGGATTTTTCTGCATGAATATGTAGTATTGTTTTCTGTATTGTTTTCCCCACTCCGCATCCCCACTCTCACCCAACCGGTTAAGATAGATGGCTGCCTTTCCTGAGCCTGGTTCTGTCAGAGGTCCCCCCGTTTAAATTTGAAGAGATATACCTTACTATGTGAAGTGCTGTGAGATAACATATGCTGCAAACTGTGCTTGACAAATTGAATTGAACTGAATTGAATTTGTTCTTGTAATGGAGTGTTTCAATATTGCTCTTAAACCACTTAAGTCAGAAATGTGAATACTTCTTGTGAGTCTTTTGTATATTTTTGCTTTAAAACAAACTACTAAAGCATTTTAACAGTGCAATAAGTATTTTTCATTCATATTTCATGTCACTATTAGGACTCTAGTACAAGACCTTGCTTAAACAATGCACACAAACTAGTTTTGACATGTTTAATATGCTGCTGGTATACTATATAACAGTAGGAAAACAGTGCAGCAACTTAGCACTTATCTAGAGTTTTGGCACAAATCAGCACTGTCTGTAGCAGGAATGCAGTTGAATGACCCTCAAACAAAATGTCTCAATCAAATTTGTTTCCCATATTTTGTGCCAATCTTCAAATCCAGACCCAAAAATATGTCCATCTGGATGGGCCACAGGCAGCCTGTGTGCATGAGTCCCATATTATAAGATGCTGACAACACTGATAGGACAGACACAAGCCAATCACAAACATTAAATCTATGGGTAAATCCCAAATACATGAACATTGAGTCTGCTTCAGTATCTGTCAGATGACTGACAACCAGCTTCAAGAAGCAGTCTGACTGTGAATACAGCATGGGCAGCAGTGCAGCGAATCATGGATGAAGAGATCACACTCCACACAGAACACACTGCGACATGATGGACAGGTGAATATCTAGGAGCCCAAAGACAGAAAGGGAAATCACATAGATCAATAAATGTGGATATAGGGACTATTGGGTCACCTATAAGATGGACATAAATATGTATTTTTAAAATGAATCCAGCAGAGGCCAATATAACCAGACTTTTAGTTCATTATATCAGCTGACAAACTCTACACATCTGCTTTGTAAAGCAGGCCTCTTATAGCTGGAATGTTCTTAAATATTATAAACATCAGGGCATTCTGGTGACCACATGCAAAGGCAAGAAATATCAAGAAAGATACCACACTTGTTTGTAATTGTGTGATTATTTCTATTCCTAAACCAGTGTTTGTAAAAAAAATCATGATGTTTATTTATTTAAGTGATCAGAATCTCCCAGTAACCCTTGGTAGCTGAAAGGTGTGCCCTGGGATATACAGTATTTACCTGAGTGGGAGCCACTGGTACCACTACGCCATAAAGACTTACTTTCTCAGGCTTGACAAAGCTACAGAAACTATTTTACAGCTGTAGAAGACAAATAGTGCTCTCTGTGATGAGTAAGCTGAACTTAGTCCAACTGGAATACAATTGAAAGGGTGCAGCTTTAAAGGAAAAAAGGTTGCCTGTGCTCTACTATCTGGATAGGCTTTACAGATGCAGACATTCAGCTGCCATACTTACACTTTTATCCTTCAGCTCCCCTTGACAGGCTTGGCAGAACCTGAAACCAAATCCCAACAGTATAAAATTCACAGTGGCACGCTGGATTTGTGTGAATGTGTGAAGTGTGTGAGAGTATCAGAGGTACCCATTTCCTTGGAGCTCCTCCACCGGACTCTCTATGAAAGCTTCAAGGGGAAAGAGGTGATGGAAGGATCTGGCCAGATGGGGGGCCGATACCAGAGTCAAACCTTGGAAACAACATAACAGTCAAAGCTATGGAACATCTGCACAAATTACTTTCACTAAGCAGAAAGAACTGCAGCATTCTTTTGCTGCAAGAAGCAGTAAATTCAAGCTTCATCTGTTTTACACGGACACACACAGACTTACCACAGACTTTACACTCCACAGGAAGCTCTGTGTAATTAGAGTGGCACTGTGGACAGAAGTATCCTCCCAGAGACAGACCGCTGCTGCTGTCCAAATGACTGGAAGACATGTACCAGGAGTAGCATATTACAAAGAATTTACTCTCATACACAGTCCTGGACACAAGGGTAAAATCACAGTTTTCTACTTACGACATGCTGAATGAAGGCTTAGCATCCTGGTCAGTCAGAGAACCAATTGTGTGCTGAGGAAAACCTGAGCAACCACAGGATTCACATTAAGTCAGTTTGAGACAAATATTAAGCAGTAAATAATCGACATTATTTTTCTGTCATAAACAATGTTATTATTATGAAGAAAAGCACAAGTTACCTTTACAAATGTGTTTAAGGAAGCAAAATAATTCACCGAAACAACCGGTCATTGTGATTTTTCAAAATTGGTACACAAACTTGGTGTGCCCCGATAGCCAAGAGGTTTTAGCACTTTGCAGCTTGTCCCTGGTTAACCGGACCACCTGCTGCATGTCATTACCCTACTCTCGCCTTTCCTGTCTACCTCTGCACTGTCAAAGACATAAAATGCTCGAAACAATCATCTTTTAAAAAAAAAAGAATAAAAAAGTGCATTTGTTGACACAGTGCTGCAAGTTTAGAGCTGTAATGAGCACTTTTGGCAGCAGGATGGTGTATGCTGATCATGTCAAAACAAACTACAGTGTGCGTGCATAACAATACAGGAACACGTCACCCAGCACAGCAATGTGGCTCACTGATGTATTTTTAAAAGTTTATGGCACAAAGGTAAGTCCGCCACTAACAAACACACACAATAATTGATTCATTGTCAATTTGTCTCAGCAAATAAAATCAACAGAAAATATTATTTGAAAAAAAAAAAAAAGTAGTTTAGGAGAAAAGAAACAGGGCAATTATCACCTTAACAGTGGATGGCAGTTCTGACGTGTTTTACATTTCCACTTTGTTCAGAGACAAAACAGGAGCCTATTTATTGCCACAGATGGAAACGACATCTGTACTGACCCATGCGTATTAAAGAGCATTCAGACGATGAGCTGGTTGGAGGAGGCTTAACATGCAGCGTCAGCAGCTCTTTGAAGTGACTCTCATCCAGGATAACATGGTATGAGCCGCCTGTTTCCCTGGTCAACACTGTACACACTCGGACCTCTGCTGAAAGGCCGATTATTGACACCCGTACATTCAGAGACTTCAGTGTCTGAAAGAAGAGGAATACAGTTACACATGACAGATTGTCTGTGGAGCAGATTAGAAATGTCAGCAACATGTACATTATGCTGAAATTACATGACACAAGTAGCTGAAGAACTGCTTATCATCTAATCAGTGGACAATAATGACTGCACCACTGCTAGAAAAGGTTTAGATGGGACTTTACCTTGGTCATCTCATAGATGTTGGCTGGGTCACATGTGGTGAGGCTGCTGAGGATTATCAGGATCTCTCGGCTCGTATGTCCAGGCATGTGCCTTCACATGGAGACAGACAGCAGCTGAGTGGCAGTCATTCACTTCGAAGCCACTCTGTAACATCAAGTCTAACAGTATTTACACCCCCATTTATTGATTTTCAACATTGAACCATGGCCAGTATAATTTGGCTTTCTGACAACATTTTCCAAAAGTAAACACCCTTTTGTGTCAAAGTGAAAACAGATCTCTACAAAGTAATGTCAACAAATTAAAAATATTAAGTGTAAAATAAGTGACTGCATAAGTATTCACGTAAAACAAAAAAAGTCCTCACCTAGTTCAATACTGTCACAGCCAGTCGGTACCAGAAGTCACACAATTAGTGAAATGGAGATCATTTTAAAGCAGTGATGTGTCTCAGTGACTGTGGTATAAAGACTCCTGTATCTGGAAGGTCACTGGTGGATCAGTACTCCTAGATAGAACTACACCATGAAGACTGAAGAACACTCCAAAAAACGCTGGGAAAAGTTAATTAATAAGCACAAGTCAAGGAATGGATACAAGAAAACTTCCAAGTCACAAAATATTTCTTGGAGGACAGTTAAATCCATCATTAGGAAATAGAAGGAATATGGCACATGTGTAAGTCTGTCTAGAGCAGGACGTCCTCAAAAACTGAGCAAGGGAGCTGCCAGAAATCTTTTCTGGGGGGTGGCAAGATGGGGCCACTGATAGTCTTGGAGTGGCACACAAAAGCCAAAAGCCATAACTTAATGAGGAGGAGGTTCAAGCACTGGCGACCTGGGGCCTGTACTACGAAGCGAGATCAACATACCTAGGATATCTTTCAGAGCCAGGAAGGAGTGCTGACAGGAAACGGCTGATTGTGTGAATGCATAAGTTCATTAGTATATAATA